TGGTGCGATTGACCTATGACATGTAATCCAGAAGCTGCGGCAAGCACGCGCTTTGCTGACATCACCCGTGAATATTGATTGATTACAGTTTTCCTAAAACTGTAGCGCGTCGCTCCAGGGTATGCATTATCTCGCAGGCTGGGTTCACCACAATCACCTTTCACCTTGAGTTGAACATCAACGGTCGACACCTTGATCTCATAGCTACAAGACTTTACAGTGTTGCGTTGGAGTGGGAATGTTTCGTGTTTGTGTGTGTGTCATTATCGTCATTCAACATTGTACAGCGTAATACAGTGAAGCGAACTTCACTGATCGCCGACAAACTCATATTGCATACACCGTAAGTGATAATATGTAAGGAGGACAGGGATTGGGCCTATTTTTAGGGACAGGAAAAAGAAACGAACCCCTATGGTCAACACAGAGTACACAGTTCAACTGTGCATACATACTATTTCAAGCATTCTGGTCTGTTAAGAAGTGACAACATGATCTTCATTGCTGTCGGTTCGCAGCCATGACCTTCAGTGTCTCCAAATATGCGGTTTCAGAGTCTTTTGGACCCCATCCGGGAAGACGAGGGACACCTCCTCTACCTAATCGCTCTGTTCATTTCTTCATGCCTCGTCTCCACGCCATCTACTGGCCTCCACGTGGCTTTCTCCAGCCTGCAAGAGCCACTGCGAATAAGGCGCGCTGCGGCAGGCGATCGTCGGACATACGCAACACATGTCCTAACCAACGGAGCCTATTGAGCTGGTCTCGATAAGTTGTTGTCTGATGTATTCCCAAAACCCGACGACTTAATCCTAAGTTACTAACCCGCTCATTCCATCCAACCTGGGCCGGACTACGTAAGCATCGATTGTCGAACACTGTTGAACGATGGGTGTCTTCTACCCGCAAATAATAATAATAATAGTGTGTGTGTGTGTGTGTTGAAATCTGACGGGTTCACCCAGACACATTTCGAAACTCTTGGTCTTTTTGTATTTTCCATTTTCTAGTTGTGTAACTTTTGTAAGTTTATATGCTTACATTTTGGTCAAAAATGTACACTGTTCGTCACACGAAATGAAATATGCAGTTTCATTTAACAAGCAAGAATGTCCCTGAAGTTTGTTTCATATAGAAAACTTTTGATGTAGTTCACTTGCGACCTGTTCCTCCTTGGTTAGGAGTCGGGTCAGATAGGATACAGGGGAATTTTTATAAATCTTAATGCGAGAGAGTAAATGCTGAAATGAGGAGCTTGTGGACGAATGGGAACGACAAGAGGATAGATCGCGATGTAGTGGATGAAGAGGGTAGTCTAGAATCTTATTAGCAAATTTAAAACAAGAGTTGATGTGACCACCAATGAGTTCTGTGTTTAGTGAATCGATCGGGATTAATGATGCACGACTGATAATGATCAAACCACGACGAATTATTTTGAAGTCTTGCTTTAAAAGACGGAGAAACGCTTCGAGGGAGCAATGGAGCAGAATGGGTAAAAAACGCATTGATGAACGAAAGAGGACAGGACTGATTGTGGGATTCGGAATTGATTGAGTTCTCGTAACCGAAAAGACAGACCTCTCAGTTTTCCCATACAATTCTAAATGGGTGAACCAATGAAGATTGCTGTCAATGGTGATACCCAGTTACTTGACTGAGGCCATTCTGGATACAGGTTTACAGTTAAGGGTAGCAGAGTCCGTTGGAAATGTGGAGCGGGAAAGACTTAAATTAAACTCTATGCATTTAGGTGTGATAAGACCGAGACCATATTGGTCAGCAAACGGTTGTATGTGGGATGGNGGATTTCCATGGAAAGAATGAAATTCCGAAGGAAATAAAATTGTCTGGCATAAAACGACATGGTCGGCATACTATTGGATGTGCTCATAGGGTGGAACCGAGAGATCAATGATAAAAGGAGAAAAAAGATATGGAGAAAGAACAGCGTCTGAAAGAATATCAAAATTATTAACAAGAGATTTTGATTTCATCCTTCCTAATTTGATGCATCGGACCCTCTCTATCAAATAGTCAGTAAGCCACGAGAGCAGTTGTCTCCGAGTGCCAAAAGAACCATGTCTGTAGAAAAGGGATGATCGAGAGACAGCATCAAACGCGGAAGAATAGTCAAGNACTTGCTGATAAAATGCATTAGAGTGGAAATGGCGTCGAGTGTAGATCTGTTTGGTTTATATGCAAACTGAATAGGGTCTCAAGGGATTGTGGTGATTGACTGCAACCGACGCACGATGACGTTTTCAGTCAACCTTAGAACCTCTGAGGTCGGCGCAATAGGACGAAGCCGTTTCGCAAGAACAGTTGAGGACGTGGATTTGGGGATCGGAATAATAGTCACTTGGCCCCAGAAATCTGGAATCGACCGGTAAGCTAGGAACTCATTGACGACGGATTTCATCATATTGGTTAGAGAAGCTGCTCCGAATTTCAGAAGTGCAGGAGGAAGACCATCAGGGCCTGCAGCTGAAGATGCTTTGCAGGATCGAAGAAACTAAAGGATTTCTTCATCGGAAAAGAGCACTGAATTGGATTCATTCCATGGCTCTCATTTGGCAGATGGGCTAAAGCGGCGTTAAAGCTGTTCATGTCCACATAGGTATCCGAGTATTTTCTGCTCTGCACGCAGAGACGGCGAGAACCTTGCCATAAAAGCCTGGTGTTTTTTATCCGCAGAATTCGGGCGGCGAAGATTGCATTTAGATAAATTATCTCAGACTTGATTACCTCAGAATAGTACCTTACAACTGATGCATGGAGAGATTTGTAGGCCTTCTCTTTATGCCTTCTCAGTGATTTCAAAAATGGAGACGTTACAGACAAACAGGGTTTTCTTTGGACATCATAAGTTAAATATCGATATAATCGTTTCAGCGAACAGACTGACACATTTAAAAAGCGATGAACAAGAATCAAACCAAGACTGAACAATCACAACAAAACTGTTGAGAAAAGAGATGCGGTTGGGTGAAAAATCCTTTAGATGAAATTTTATCTAAGTAGAACGTATGAATGTTTGAAGTGCGAGAATACACCTTTGATGTTGTATCCCGTGTAAGTCAGTAAGTACGCAAGTACTGAATTAAGTAGTTAGTCTATTTCCAGTATGTAATTGCAAACGTAGCCGGTCCGTAAGCCGGTGAGCAAGCAGTGTGTCAACACGCAGACAGACAGGTACAAATTCGTGCAACCGTTACCAAAAGGAGTGTCATCACATTGGGCAGTCAACGAACCAATCAATGCGGACAGGTCAATGCTGACCTCTGGTTCGCTGAGGCGGATCGACCTTGTAGCAGAGGAAGTCCGCATGAGGTGCGTACGTGTGCTGCAATGTTCGGTCGCGTGATGTGCGGTAAACGTTTCACTCGACTGCAGGCCACAACACTTTGGTCTAACAAGAACACTATGGTCACTAGTAGAAACCAGGGTCATTAGTTTGAGGGAGAATAAGTTGGGATGGATTGTGATAACTCTGTCCAGCACAGAACTACCCTTGGTAGGAGAATGACTAAGGTCAAACAGACCAAACGGAAGCAGGGGAGAAATGCTTGCATGATTGAAGTCACTAACAAGTGAGTGAAAATTTTCATCTAATAACGAAACTAGAAACGGAATATAGGAATCAAAGAACACAGAAAATTCCGTCTGAGAACACAAGGGAGATTTACACCCATTAATGATAATTGTACTTTGCGACGGGAAAATTTGGGATGACAACGGACAGACAACAGTCAATGGATTTTCCAGAATAGTTATACATTATCACTTCTGACTTGCCGCAACAGGAAACATTGATGTAGGTTGCCACATCGCCAACAGTTATTCCCTAATTCGCTGTCTATCCTGCCGGTGGCAATCAAAGCCTTCTAGTTACAGCGTTTTGATTCAGCCAGGTTTCTTGTACACATATAACACATGTTTGAATTATTGCGTGTGTTTAGAATGGAGGTTAAATCCAAGATCTTTGCGAATAGCGAGTGAATGTTAGTACTGACCAAGCCAGTGATGGCACAGTTATCCTAACTGTATCTTAACACAGTGAGTTTTCTTCTTCATTTCCAATCGATTTCTGGAATTCAGGCACAATCAATGTCAATTCGTACATTCGACCAACTCGAATCCATACAAAACGGATAGAGGATAATAGGATTAGCATGTGGCTAATCGAAGTTCGAGTTTTGGGCCTCCTGGACCGAACCCACATTCGATTGCGTCCTATCTCGGTGGTCAGTGGTGTGCTCAGTCTGTTTGCTCTGTTTACACTCATCGTATCTGTCGCAGTTGTGCTCAGCATGATGCTTGTGCAGTCCGAGGGATGTCGAAATTTCACCGGTCAGACGAGTCAGTCACTCACTGACACGATTTTGTATCGGTATATGCGACACGAATGGTCCAACTGGTTGAACAATGCTACCATCTCACCGGATATTCTATCCCTGTTGAATATCGGTCCACCGACAAACCTCACCAAGGTGATTAGCACCTCGTGCAATCCAAACGTGAATTCGCCCAACCAGGTCGGTCTGTTCGGATTGGTTGGTCATGAACGGAATTTGAATTTTCAACCTCTGCTGACCAGTGACAAAGTGACGTCGATTATTACGGAAGCAGAAAAGTGAGTGTAGACAGTGTTTGAGTGGTATTTAAACAATTGTGAATCCTACTGCGATACTGGAAAAATAAAATTGTAAACTATACCAAGCTCAGCCAAAGGATACTTCTGAGCTGGTATAATGACCAGAATGTGTCAACCGAAAACGTGTAGCATTCACATTAGACACGAACGCAAACTGAAACACTAAATCGCACTATCACTTGTAAGCCGGAATCTCCCGTCACCGAGACGCAGGAAAAAGGCCACAGAAGTAGCAGTTCATTTGTTGAAAGAAATCAGTGAGATTAAATAACATGTACAAAGTAATTTTATTGGTTATACAGGTATCCACCAATCGCCTGTTTGTATTCTGGACGTCATATAGCTTCTGTCTGGACCGCACGACTTCTAATTGGTCGGCACGGATTAGCCTGTGGTTCGTTGTCCCGAAACTGTAACTCGTAGGCTCTTGGCTGGCGTCATCTGGGAGGGTTGAAGAAACCATAGAACGCTAGGTACAGCCACATCAGGGAGGCTGGCTGCCCTGTCAAACGAAACAAACGAATAGTGAGTGTGGACATGTGCAGACAGATCACTGGATATGCTAGACGATCAATCAGAATATGATCAAGCTAACCGATGAGAAGATAGCATGAGACAAATTACACCAGGATTAAGAGCAGATATCATGGCCGGGAATGAAATCGCGCCAGTCTATAGTAGATGAACAAACAAACAGTGAATTCTGATGAGCCGGAGACAAATGATATTTAAACAGTCCATTTGGGAGGAATAATGCCGGCTTCCGGTTCATATTTGTGCCATGTTGGTGACGACCAAGGAAGCGGGTGAATGAAAGCTTAGAAACCGGGATACGAGAATGATCAACTTATCCCACGTAACAATGAAAGTCTTGTTTGTTTGAAATTTTCTGTGTAGCACATATCCAACGAGCTCGTGACATCCAGAAATCATATATCGTCTTGGTTAACCTGGGGAAGTTTCCTATCACCATCGATTCGTAAAGCACACATGCTTATTGATGGTACAGATTAGTTTGAGTTTACTCCAGGTAGCCACCAACAAAAACAAAGACAAAAATATGGACGGAACGACAGAGAGATAGCGACGTCCAGTGTACCGTTTTGCAGAACTAAACAGATATGTGATTTTTATAAGAAAGAAAACAAACGAGCAACATCCAAGGACTTTCATTAATTTCTTGGCCGTATAAAATTCCTAACAAAACAATGTGAACTGCGGACACTGTCTGTTATTCTTTTACCGTCGGCCACACCAATAAGATGAGCGATGTGTCACAGAAACAGTCTTTTTCTGTCGTCATTAGTAGATGTGGTACCGTCACGATCTTTTTCGTTCTCACTCCTACCTATTCGTTCAATTCCAAAACCGATGGATGAATAGAAAGTGAGAACATTCGGATAGTCATTTTCATTTTCATTTTACTTCCTTTTATTGAGCACACCAAGATACAATTTACAGAATGGGGGTAGCGGCCAATCAAAGGATTGTCATACGATACACACATAATGGGGAAAGACAGTAGGTGGCGTCCTTCGAGAAGGTAATTGGTGACGCTACCACAGGGCCGACATCGCCTAAAGCAACGAGGGAGCATAAAACACAAACACATAGAATCACTATCTTATTAAGTGGAATCAATACTGATCTAACAGTTCACTGATTCACTGACGCATTTATTTTTTATTTATTCATTTAGCGAATTTGTCACACAGATTGTTCAAACAGACTTCGCCTCGTACATTCCAAAAGACCTGGACAGCTTGCATGACTTGGCTCGTAATGTGAGCACGTATCTGGATACGGAACACTACAATGTAAGTTTCACATCACAATACTAAACCCACCACCACCACCAGGCCGCTTTTATATGGCCGCGGTATCCCTCCTGAAATTTTATTCTATAATCAATAAACTAGGATGGTTTCCTGGAACAAGGCAATTTCTATCCTCACTCACTCTATGGCTGACATCAAATCCAGCAGCCAAAGAGCTTTTCGTCAGTGGAAATAAACCGAAACCTCTCCCATGCATGCATAAGTTGATTAGACTCCCACAGTTGGGTGTTTTTCCATTCCCTATTGGAGAACAATGCCATCCGCCTGGAACACTTTTGCAGGTCATCACTTTCTATCTGAAATGGTCACGTGAGTAATCAAAGGAAGCATCAGTTTAACCGAATGTATTGGTCCATCTACAAGCCGCTCAGCATATGATTTCCACGGGACTCAGGGTAGCAGTTGCATCCTGTCTAATTAGGTTTAAATACCTGCAGCGAATTAAGCAGTATATGTATTTGTAGGAGATACCTATGTTGCTGATCTGTGAACCGGTAAGCAAGCAGGGCGTCAGCAGATGAACAGGCAGATCAACAACAGGTGCAGGCGTCACATGACACCAAAATGCGGCCAAACAGGCAACGAATCAATCAACGCGGACAGTTCAATACTAATAGCTGACTGGTTGGGGCGGATCTGTATCTTATACTTTATTTATATATATATACATATATATATATACATTAGATTATATTGTGTGTCGAAGAGTATGCCTGCACGAGTGTGCGGCAGTAGGCAGCATCAACCAAACAAACAGTCAGATTAATCCAATCTTTCCGGTCAGGAATGCAAAGATCGGATTAACAGAGTAACAGGTCAGGGGCACAAAACAATTCACGGGTGTGGACTGAAATCCGGTAGTCTGCCATAGGCTTCCCCAAGAGGTTTCTTCTTCTCCACTTTTATTCCCCTTTTCTAATTAACCCAATTGCTGAAACCATGCCACAATTTTGCATGCATATGACCTCAACAGATTCTGTTTGGTTCATTGAATGAAAACTTTAGTTAATCTGTTTCTGCTTCACTCAATCGATTTCGTTGCAAGCCTCTATGCACTTGAAAAAGCATTATGCTCTTTGAGCGTACAACGTCTTCCCGAGTTATTTACTGGTCAACACAGCGTACATAAATTGCTAACACTCTCGAAAGGATGTGATTTTTATTTCTTTGTCAAGTGTTTTTTATTGCCTTTACTAAACCATATCGGTTTTGGTGTAAGACGGTTGCACTGATGCTATTGCCTAGTTTGGCTACAAAACATCTGCAAACATTGATTACCTAACCGAACCTCATAGCAACTTTCGTATTAATTGTCTTGACCCGTTCTTCGTCAAACTCTTACTGTAATCTTTTATCTCCACCCCACACGGAAACTGTTTTGTGATGATTGTCGTAATTGTTGTCCTATTATCGTAATCCATTATCGGTATCATTATCTCAACCCGGCATAGAAACTGCCCCGTGTTATTGTGATCATCTGTTCATCACCCATCAACTATGATTATCCTACCGTCTTCACTATTGTCACTGTTCAGTCTTTCAAACGTTTAATTAGTCCCACAGAACACATTGAGAACAACAACGTGGCGAACAAGCTCGTTTTCAGTTATTCGTAATCATGTCATTACATAACGTTAACTATGACTAACAATAAGAATAAACAACGAATAAGTCCTAATGATTTAGCTTCGGCTCCAATCATGCGTGCATGTGTGCCTGTGAGAAATTGACCACAGTGTCAACAGTTCACTTGATTGCACACGTGTTAGAGTGGCTGAAGTGGGCCACGGGAGATTAAGTGCTCGCAATTCAGTTATTTCTTGGCCCATGCTACCACCCGCCTTGTGTGTTTGACCGTCCCAGACACCCTTCTCGTGTTCGTTCTCTATTCTCTCAATTACATCGTGATTACGGTTACTGTCTGTCGCCCCCTCCCCCCGACTATGGTGTCACTTCGCTATCCCATCCCCCTGTGATTGGTCCTCATCGCCCTTTAAATAGCACTGTCGCTATACCCACATCACATTCTTTCTCTGATTTCCAAGTGTTCTTTTCTTGCAGATTTGCATTGTCGTGTCGAACCGATTGTTTTGTCTAGATCGGGTTACTCTTAATTTGAAGTGTGCCGTTGTATTTCCATTAATTCATGATTGAATGTGCAACATTACACGGAGGTTCCCCAGCCTTGTGTTCTACCGCGGATACGGAGTTCGGTATTTTCGAATCACTCTATCATCAGACATCAATCCGGTACAGGGGTTATGCAAAAATGAACTAATAATTTACGAAAATGCAGTGGAAATCATAGAACACCAAACATGGGACCAGACGCACTCCAGATTCTCCGGTGAACTCGTTTGACAAAAGACGTTTGTTACTTAATCAAAATTCGAATTCAACGGCCTTGTGAAATTATTCCTTTTCAATTGCAAATGAAACTGTTGTAAACCCATTTAGATCGGGTAGTCACATCACACTGTGAATCTCACAGTGTTTGACCCTCTGGCCGTTCAAATTTACCCACTGGAACGAGTCCTGTTTAAAGCTCACCGGTTCAATGATCAACCCCGACCTAGCATAACTTTCATCTTGACTCCATAGATCAATAGAAAAAGTACTTCTGTTTGTTGATAGACCGATCCCATCTGTCCAACTGGACGAAGGATGTATTAGAGGCTGTCCCGGTCGGAACACCTGCCAAGTTGTGAGATTCCCAGTAGAATGCGATTGGTGGATTCACGTACATTTCTAGCGTTTTTACATGATTTTGAGATAATATAGTTAACCAAGATCAAGAGTAGATTTCATTAAATGAAAAATGTCCATTGTCACATTGAAAACAAAGTCCGGTAGGCGAAACAATCTGTTTTTCGATAAATTCATCAACGGGCCATTACAATTATATACGGTTATCTGGGTTCGTCGATCTGGTTTTGATCGCATCAGACTAAGGCAAATGGATGCGGCTTGAGGGGGGGGGGGCTTAAACGACGGATCCATCAAGCGTTGCGTCAAACGTTTACAACAGCCGAACTACGCGTGAATTTCACTATGGCCTCGGCAATACGTCTCCACCTCAAAGATATACTGCCCCCCCACCAAGCCGCTTCAATGTGCCTTTACGCGTTCAATTGCTCCTAAGGAGTAGGCTATATCGGCCGGACTACGAGGCAGCTATCGAAGAGGATCCGAGACCAATACTCCCGCTGGTTGAGACACGGTGAAACTAGGACGGCGAAAAGTGCCATCTGTTAAAATATACTGGAGACACGGCACACCATCAATGTTGATCAGGCATTCCGCACGATTTATCACTCGCCATCATCTCTGCCGAAACGCCTTCGGTTTATCATTCTATGCACAGTCGAGGCGTGAGCTATCCAAACATTGGATCCCCCCCGCCTGTGAAACCAAAAGCAGTTCGTTCGGGCTCTAGCCTTGTCCTGGCCTCGGATGAAGAAATCCGCTCCAACCCCGGGGGACGCACCAACGAATTAATCGAGATGAACATCAGGTAAACAATCCTAGCATACACTCTGTACTTAGCCTGATGCGATCAAAACCAGATCGACGAACCCAGATAACCATATATAATTGTAATGGCCCGTTGATGAATTTATCGAAAAACAGCTTGTTTCGCCGACCGGACTTCGTTTTCAAGATCGAGAATGCCTGGTACCCCTGCGTAATCGAATGGGCTAATGAGCAGTCCAAGTGTTTCGCAACTACTGAAAACTGGATAAGTGTTACAAATTTCCAACTGCAACTTGAACGTTCACCATAATGTTCACATCTCAAGGTCTAATGACCGGTTTTGGTAAAGATTATTCAATCACTCCGAAATCTCTCATGAGAAATTATTATTATTCGTTTCGGTCAAACATTTACCTTCCATATGGTGAGGTATAAGATGGCTGAAAACTAGTAGGTTGAAATGGACCTAAGCCGTGAGGTTGATTCGAAGCTTTTTTGGAAAGCTTGGTGACGGATCAGTGGAACCATAGACTGCCTGTGTGCACATACGCACTGACCGCTGTACAAGCTGTCCTCAATCGTGACTTTTGAAATCTCCTTACCGGTCAAGAACGTTTTACTCAATCAATCATGATCACCGGTAAGCAAGTGTTGTGTTGTGATTGCACCAGTGTGGTGGTGGTGGCACAGTGGTTCAATCGCCCTCACAGGCGTGCTTTCGACCCTATAGTCCGAGGTTCGAGCCTCGCCACCGCCATCCGACTTTGGTGGTAGGCAGCTTTGCTGTTGTCCGGTTCAATACCACGCCTATCTTAGCGGGGCCTTATGTGGTTCGCCACTCCACGTAGTGGGACTTAGGTTACTGGTTTCCACCACTGAACAGCGTGTCCTCGTGACTATGGGGTTGGCCCCGTCTGCTGTTAATCGTACGTAGGTGTGTAATGAAAAAAGTAGTTTTGGTCAAGGAAACCGGAATTCAAGTAAAACATCGCATTCCTCTTCTGATTTCCAATAGAGTGTTTTCCTGGCACGTTTGCCCTTGTCGTGTCGAACCGATTGTTTTGTCCGGACAGGGTTGCCCCTAATTTAAGGTATGCCGTTGTATTTCCATTAATTTATGATTCATTACGCAGTACACGTAGATTTCCCAGCCTTGTGTTCTGACGCGAATTCGGCGGTTTGATTTCTGCGAGTCACTCTATCATCAGACGTCAATCCGGTACACAATGCTTTCGACTCGAAGAAAACAACACCACCACCGCCAACATACGCATCCCGAGACACGATCATTCCACATTATTTGTGGAAGATTCTTATAATAATTACCACAGACGAACGATCTAGTGAATAAGTTTGTTTCCGTAACTTCTACTTGAAGCATTTGCAGTTGAACGTGTATTTATGTATACCCCGCGATAAAAGTATTGCATCCCCGCCCACACCTTAGATTTTTGCATTATCTCCACCCTTGCATAAACAATTATCACCAGTTTTTTTAGAATCTAGACCACAAGCGAATTAAAAGCCGAAATATACAAAATTTCATTATATTATCTTCAATTTTAACGAAACTATGTCAAACGAAACAGAATTTTCACGTTGAAAAAATTATTGCATCCCTATGAACGTGACATAAAAATTAACTAAGATCCATGAGGATAGTCTTTCTTCCCCCTAATTAATAATGTCTGTAATTTTATGTTTTGTGGTGTCAAATCTGGATGGTGTTTCTTCTTTTTCGGAATATTCCTCCAACTGAAAATCTGTCCCGAATACAAAAGATTTCCGTCCAATCTGGCCTTAATCTTAACACATCTATTTGCTTGGAGTGTATTTTTGGTTCTTCCCGCTCTACGTTCTCATCGGATTCTGTAACCAGTAATTGTAACCTCTTGTCTAGAGTGACATCAACCAAATATCTGGGTGTTACTATCGATAATAATGTTCGGTGGTCAACGCATATTCAGAACTGTATGGGAAAACTTCTGTACTTTACCTTTCGGCTTCGGAAGCTCAGACAATTTAGCACTCCCCAACAAGTTTTATTCTCTTTTGTTAAACAATGCGTTCTCCTTATTTTACTTTACTGCTCCTCTGTATTGTTTCCCGGTCTATTGAAACAAAACTTTACAACTATCCGTCGTGGATTGATGATAATAAGCCGTGCATCTATAATTTCTGCCGAGTAATTAATCCCAGAACTTATTACTGGTCATGTGAAGTCTTGTATGACCTTTGCCAATAAGATTCTAAATGATCCCTCACGTCCTTTGCATCTTAACTTATCTTCTTGTCTATTCCATTCGATCGCTCGTTCCTCTTATCGGTATCCACCCTTTTGAATAAACATTTATAAGACCTCTCCTGTACCATGTCTGGCTTGAATTCTGACCAACAAGGAACGAGTTATAACTGAATTACGTCAATCTTTACTTGAATGAATCAAACTTCGGAGACACTTTTTTACACAGCACTCTATTGGATCTGTCTATACTACTATATTTTATCCGGTGTGATGACCAGTGTACAATTTTTAATTGAACTGTAAGCATACCTCAGCTTGTAAATGTTAAACAAATACAAATACACCGTTCGCGTAAGAATGGCCCAGATGTTTTCTATCGTGTTCAAATCCGAGCTCCGCATAGGCTATACCAGTGTTGTGATGTTGGCAAAATAATAGAGCGTTGTTTTTATATATGTGAGTGATAAACCACGGTGATATAATGCTGGAAAATGACTTCGGGGCGACTGATTATTAAATACCAATGCTAGCTGGCATCAGGTGCCACTCCAATGTACAAATAGTTGTATCAGTACGTTAATCCTCACGGAGTATATTGAGTTCGGTCGGGCCGGTTCTTGATGAGCCATGTGCACCATCACGAACGTTAGATCGCTGATCAGGTTACTAAATTACGGCTCTGCTTTCCACAGGTCATGCATCGGGTTCATCCTCTGGTCGATGAAGTAGAAAAATTCCATTCGTTTTACCAAGGTGCACGACTATCACTTTCTTAACGAATTTTTCTCTTTGTACAGTCGTGAGAGCGACGTATCTTCTCGTTTATTTGTTTTTCATCCACAGGACTGTTTTATTTGTTCCTTGTACCGTTATCACCAACTCCAGCACCGAAATCAACTTCGATGAACGAATCACTGCGAGTTTGAGACCAGATGTAGCCTTACCTTTCTCCGAGAGCTTTGCCTGGCATCCAATCAGCATATCGCTACGTTTTAGCTGTTCCCGCTTGGGGTATCGGTGTCACAGTGTGATCTGTATTTATTATACAGTTTGGCTGTCTTAGATTCGCTGGTATCGATCTCATGTAAGACATCTTTGCCCGACTTGGTAATGTCTTGTGCTGGGTTAATTGGACGACCTTGTTCTTTCAAGGTCATTGGGAGTGAAGTGAGCATAACTGTAGACTACATCAATCTGTCAGTTACTGACTCACTATGGTTCCCAATCCCCGTGCGGAAATAAAACCTGAGAATGTCTTTTTCACTCGTTTTGAAACCGAACTGAGTGTAAGGAGTCCAATGAGGAATGTAATTCTTTTTTTCGACATATTGTCGTTAAAAGTGATGAAATTTCGGATTTCGGATTGTCATTCAGTGGTGATGATAGATTCTTAAACATAGAGATGATCGCTCAGATAGGAGTGAACGTAATCCAAAAGTTAAGAGGTGGAGTAATTTTGTCGCGAGGTGTATGAGATTGGTCTATTAAGGCTAATGAGAAAGAACAGCATTCTCTGTCAAGTTCTTTAGGAGCACATGAAGAGGAGGGGGCACTGTTGATAATTTCCAATGACCGTTGACTCACGCGCGACGCTTCACGCCGTGTTGCGTCATCAGGGTTCGGTTCGTCTCGTAGGTTGAGGCGGGGCCAAGGCGACTGGAGAGCGGAAACCATTTTCTTCTCACTTCCTAATGGTAAGCTCAGGATTTTGCTGACAGCTGCTTCTAACACTGCCAAGTTATGATACCGAACGTCAGTGATATATATATATATATGCTATACTGGCTACACGATCATTGCATATGCACCATCTTTTACTTGACTTGACTTGCCATGACAAGCATCATTCAACTAAAATTTATTTCCATTGATTGTGTGATGGTTTAAGTTCGGATATAATTGAGTCTATAGATCTTTGTTATGCACAGTACTCTGGGAATGGACCAGAAGCAGATAATCCTGTTCAGTGGTCTACTGCACCATGATCCTAATATACGTTTCTGTGACATTCAGAAGAACTGCAATATAGAGAACACTGCATCCTAGCTGTATTGCTCTCACCATTCCAGTGTTGCAGATGCGCAAATGCATCTCGACCTGCCTGCAAGTTAGACACACATCTGCTTGACCACAGCTTGGAAGTTTCCCCGCAACTAACATCTGATGGGATAACAGAAGAAAAAAAGCACTACATATGCAGTGTCTTTTGGAATTTTTGAGCGGCGAGTCTGGAGATCACTGAACGATTCCGTGAGTCACATCCTCACTCGACTCCATTCACAAGGGCAGAGTACTGGACTTGATATGTCTGTATTAGAGAAGGAAGAGAAGGCTATCAAAAATACTTGTAGTCAGGCGAGAAAAAAAACAACTCTACCTTATTACCCTCAACCTTAGTCTCCCCCAGAATCGTCTGTTTTCACTTTGACACTGCTTTCGATAGTACAGTCTTCTATCTACTACTTCATTCAAATTGGCAGCCAAAAGAAAGCCGCCAAACCAGACGCCGGGTGAAAGTGGACGGTTAATGATTGTAAGAATTAAAATTTTTACCACTTCACGATCTGATGGAGCATTCACATTTCGCGGGACTGCAAGCTTCTAGCCCAGTCCCCCCACCCCCAAAAAAACAAGCTCCTAATGGCAATCAGAATTTTCCACAGATTTTTATAAATAACCTTAGTTTTTCAATTGTTTGCTACGGGTGGGACACCGTTTTACTTCATGGTGCCCCTTTGACTCGCTTGTTTTCCCTTTTGTCTTTGGGGCAGTTTAAACAAATGCTGAAGTTAACCAAGACCATGTAACACAGGTTATTACACCTAAGTTTTCGGCTACCAACCAAAAGATCAGTCTGTTGACAACTCTTCGAACCAGCCACTACTATCCACCTACTGTAAGCCGTTTATAGAGAACCACCGCATTGGGAATACATCACTCACCGACGATAACCTTGTGAATTTTATCAAAAGAACTACTCGGACGATTATGGTTTGATGTAACCATTGGTAAATTGACATTATGTACAAATTGAAATACACCTAGATTGTTTAGATGAGATTCATTCATGATGAACTTGTTTAGGCTATTGTTCAAGGCGTGCTTGCTTCACCATTTTAAATTCCAAGGGTTTAGGCTGCTGGCTAGTATGCATGAACAGCAGATCCTTGTAACTGACTATTAATTGAAAACCGCTGTCCAACGACCCAGAGCGAATGTATGGCAAATTCTCAAATCTTATCGCACACTCTATGATCTAACCATGTTCATTCCGTATCTATTCTTTTTTCTGATCACAGGAATCATACACTGAACTAAGTCGGAACATGCTTTCAGTTCCCAATCTGACTACCTTCGTGGATACTACAGCCGGATTTTTACACGTGATCCCAGATAGTGTGTACGTACAAACTGTGAACAAAACACTCCAACTAATCAAACAATCAACGACCACTTTGGAACAGGTTCAGATGCAATCGGGATTATTGGCAGAAGCATTTCTTAACCTAACTAAAAACCAGGACTTGACAAATCAATTTGACGCCCTTTTTGAAAGTGTGAAAACTACAGCCTCGGTAAGTTGGTCGAACTGAGACCTTTTGGATTTAGTACTGGTGAGTAGTCATTTTATAAATGCGTTATTTATGGTAGCCGGTCAGCAGTGAGGAGCAGACAAATGTCGTGGTGAAAATTTGGGGACACTGCAACTGATCTACCAGTGTTACCAAGGCTAAACCGTAATATTCTATCTTGGAAGCAAGGTACTATAGTATCAGTCAAGTGTGTAATTAATAGCTGATCTCTTGAACCTGATTACCGCTATTTATGTGCAGTTACCGAATGTAATCCCGGGGAAGATGCTTGAGTGAGACAAATATAATTGAAGGATATGTATTGTTATTCACAGGAAAATATTTCTTTGAGAATGCTTAGGTTTTTATTTCTAGACCCTGGCACCTTAAAACAACTTATTGTTAGGAACCGCCACCCAGTTGCGTAGTCATGTCCGGTCAACAGACGGGTTTGCCACCGCTTCCGTCATAGAAACGGGGCGGAGGATTTGACCAATTCAAAAACGCACGCTAGCATATCTCTGTTTGCAATCAATCAGTCATGATTCACCACGAAAACCAAAATTCGATGGTCTCATAATCTAATTACGCTCTATTTGCACAGATCGTTTCCAATAAAACTCAGCTAGAAGCTCCAATACGGCCTGCGTTCCAAACCAGTATCAATCAATTCCTTGAAGAAATGAACAAACTTCTGTTATCGCATGTGGACCGCTATTTGGATGTGCTTATCCCGTGTGGCCGCTTGTATAAAATGTACCATCTGGTATTCAAGCTAGTCTGTAAGCCGGACGGTTTATGCAATGCCATGGGTGTATTTTCCATGCTTCTGGTGATAACCATATTGCTGTTGATTATCGATCTGTTCTTGTTTGTGCGTTTTAACGCGCGACATCAAGTCCAATCTCATCTGGTGGAGAATCATTTGAACTGGTCGAAAGCGGTCAAGTGGACCTATGAAGAATGGACCAAGCAGATACATCGAGCATGAACCAATTCCCATCATCATCATCTCTCTATCCCAATCAGAGTGCCTAACTCCTTCACATCAAACCGAATCTCCGTGCACTGGCTGGTTCTCGATAAATCGGTACAAATGTGGGAAACAGTCTATCGCCATTTACCTTCAACCGGAAACTAACTTTAACCACTAACCCCAATCGTGATATAAGTTCCCGAAAGAGGGGATCAACGAAGTTGATTTTAAAACAATAACCACATCCATATATTCGGACCAACTGTTTGCCTTGCACCTCGGTTCGCATCCCTTGTAAAATTTTATTTTTCCGTGATTTCTTAGCTCCATTATCACACCTTGGTAATAAAAACGTTTATTTTGTAAGGCAGCGCCAAACCGTGCCAGTGAAAAGTGAGATTACCAGACAACTGTTTTCCTTCAAATAGGATTGTACAATTTGCATATTATTTTTTACTTCTTATTACAAATATTCACAATAAACAATGAATATGGAAATGGCCTATTAATATTATCATTATGACTTTCAAACCCCTCGCTCCCTATAACCAATGACCTAAAGAGAACCACCGGGTAGTAAGAACTATTCCAGCAAGCTTTGCGCGAACCCCAGGTGCACTGTGTGCGCGTGTTGGTTAATTCGTCATCAGCATTCCGTACAGTCCAGTATTACACATAGTAGTACTGGCGTAAAGAAAGCTGATAATTCTACACTATATTTTGCCCTCGCTGAATGACTGTGGTTGGTGAGCGCAATTCGACTGAAGCCGCGGATCTTAACAATTATTTGGGTTATAATCCTATTAAATTTAGCAATGAAGGGTACACTGAACAAAGTGCCCACGCAATGGCATTCAAATATAACGAAAGAAATAAATTGGCAACATTTCTAACGAACGAAAGAGCTAGATTCAAAACCTAATCATTCCCAGACCGTAAAAATTGGTTTTCTTTTATACGTTGTACCTCCAACTGACTATTGGAATCTGGTTACAAGGGCGGTACTTAGCCTCCAAGTCCTATTTAGTTGCTCCCATTTTGGTTGTGTTCCCTAAAGCGAAGTACGGGATGACACAAATCACATCCATCTGTGTCCGTTGTACCAGTAATTAAATTATACATGAAAACAATAGCTTTTTCATTTGTGTTAGATAACAGTAATTTAGATTACCCACATTCTGATTGCATGGGGGTCCTCGGCATTATCGTGACGGAGGTCACTAACACTGTGATTTATCTGACCGTCGAAAACAGTGGTGGCCATGCATCTACATCTCACTCACCCCCCACCCCAATGTCGTCCAACAGATTGATCACTTTATTTAGATGCTTGACAGTTGGGACGGATTATGGCAGCCATACAACGGCAGTGACGTCTGGATGCATTTGGGGTTAAAGTTCACACACTAACTTTCGCAAATTACGTGACGGAGTGAAAACAGACCATCGGTTACTGAACTACAATCGCGGTCCTCCTGAGTCCTCCAAAGTCTTCTGGCACTGACATTGTACTATTACGAACCATGCAATTGACCTGGCATGTTATCTCAATATTCAGTTCAGTTCATTTAAAACAACCATTTGTATACCAATTACGAGCGGCGATTTAGGTTGCTGTTACTCATTTGAATAAAAGTTCGAAGAGAGAATAAATAGCGAGCTAGATTACAATATTCAGTAAAGATTACAAAGTACAGTTGAATTTGCGATTAAATCGCTTGGATGCACGAGCGCCACTGTTGACGACACTCAGCCATATCACTGTGTTTCTAGTTATCGAGATGACCGTTCCCTGGGTCTCTAAACGAGAAGCTGATTACGATCCATAAGTCCAAGTCACCTCGGAATTATTCTACTTTGATCACCCATCGCCTGCTTCGGTAAGTGTCACACGTCCACGAAGCTTACCGCCTGCTCAGTCATCACAGTCTGTGGAAGTTCAGCACCTGCTTCAGTGCGCGATTGCGCTCATCGAAAACAGCGGTATTTGAACACGCGCAGTCTGCCTTGTTCTTGTGACCGAAGCCTTCCTACCCTTGCATAGAGAGTCAAAACGATGCAGTCTAGTTCAGTTCAGTTCAGTTCCGTTCTTACAAGCATTAACTGTGCACTTTCGTGCATCGGTTTTGGTTCCTGTCTTTCGGTGCTCCATTTGGATTGGAAAGTTGAAAGCAAATTCAAGCGGAAGATGGAGAATTCATACAGAATAGTGATAGGGGAATAATGAGTGGATGCACGGGCGCCACTGGTTGCGACACCCAGCCATATCACTCAGTGTCTCTAACCATCGATGGCCATCATCTCGGGGTCCCCAGCCAAGAACCCTAACGGGACCTATGTAACCCAGACTCCTGGTTGGGGTTTTCATACCTTTATCTCAGGTCTTAGTTTGACCACCCTTAATCTTTTTCCAACCGCTACCGGCCTCGGCAAACATCGCTCGTCGCGGCAACCTACCTGGTGACATGCGTAACACATGTCCCAACCAACGTAATCTATGCAGGTCGATCAGTTGCTCCAGTGGGTGACCGCGGTTGCCTAAAACTTTTCGCCTGACCTCAGAATTGCTCGTCCGGCGGCTCCACCAGATTCGTGCAATGCTACGTAGACAGCGGTGTTCAAACACCGACAGTCTATCTTTGTCCTGTTTTCTTAATGGCCAAGTTTCTACTCCATATAGCAGAACTAGACGAACTACTGCAGCATATACTCGACCCTTCACAGACAGCCGGATGTCGCGACGGCGCCACAGATGTTTCAAGTTGGCAAATGCCAACCGGGCCGTATGTGAGCCGATACTTCATCTGGGATGCGTCCGCCAGGTGAGAGATAGCTGCCCAGATTTTTTCATTACATACATTTGTGTGGTGAACAAAAGACAGGGCGAACCCCATAGTCACGAAGACCTGTTGTTCCATCGTGGAAACCGGTAACCTAAGCCCCGGGACTTGGAGTGCCGAACCTCTCAAGGCCCCGCTAGAGGTTAGATAATAAAAACTGTCTACTTTCTCTGCAAATTCCCCGATCAGGGTGAGGTTGGGGACTAGGCCAACCCAGTCTTGGAGCAGCATTTTCCACATTGAAGGTGCGAAACGGATACCAAACACGGCTACACTAGCTCTCAAACTATCCAGAGGGGCATGCAACTTACCTGGATCTTCACTTAGTAGCACAATGTTGTCTGCATACTCCAGATCAGACAGTCTGCTACCCTGGAGCGAATCGATACCACTATCCTCG